GGCCCATTGCCTTGAACAACATCGTTCTCAAGCTTCGCACACACCAATGTGGTAACGACGGGAAGTGGTGGTGGCTTTCGGACAGTAGGGATGTTGAAATGTTTATTCAATTCCTTCAACTTAGTCTTCCTGTGGAGTTGTCAATATTACGAGTAACGACTTGCAGAGTGGACAGACCCGATGCGGTAATTGTGCTCCGAGGCCAAGTTTGCAAGTCTCGCTGCGACTGTCAACCGAAGTCTTGCATATCTCAGAAGGGATTCCTTAAGTACATCGTCGGTGGGCTCTGTATAAATTTTAGATGGTTTTTTTGCATGGGGTGGCATTGCCACTCACGTTCACCATTCTTGGCCCCATTTTTCCCTGCGAGATTGACCATGAAGAGCGATTAGGAATGAACAGGATGAGCGGCGCTGTTTGGTTGCGATAGAAAAGAGATATGTTTGTGGAAAGAGAGTGTTAAAGAGAGGAATTGAATTTGTTGTTCATGTTTGCTCGGAACAAACCACCAGTTTCAAGTGGCTCGCGCTAGCTGGAAACCAAAATAGAGCAGGAAATGAAAAAGATGAAGAGCATTTGAGGCCTTAAGGCCGCCCAGTTGTTCATGTGGATGGAATGAAATATTTTGAAAAAAATTGTATTGAAGGCTGAACATGAGCAACAGAAAACAAATTGTATCCTACTGCACCGAAGGAGTGCACGGGAGCGTCATAGCAGAAGCCCTGTGTAGCGGGCCAGCATTTGCGAAGTGATGAAGATGTAGGGGACGAAGACGACTCACCCCGCCTTGCCCGCCGCAGGTCGAGGGCTCTGCCTGCGCACAACGTGTCACCATGTCCGCCGCCTATGGCCGCGAACTCCGCCCCGCGCAACAGGAGACGCGCTGCAGCTGCTGCCTCTCGTTCACATCGAATGAGATGCTGCTCCTGTCGCCTGTATTCTCCGCCACCGCGGGCCGCGGTTTGTATGATATGACGGCCTCTTGCCATCGCGTGGGGGCCTGGGTCATATGTTTTTGCACCGCCAGTCAGCGTGCGGGGTACACCCTCCGCTCGCCCGGTCTCCCCACCTTCTTGGACCCCCTGCTCGCTCCTCGGCCAAACAAGAATGGATAAGAGCGAAAAGAACAACGCACCGAGATTATCGTTGATACCACACACGGACTCCCCTCCCGTGCGCGGCCCTGCTACGGGCAGTGCTGGAAGGGCGCGTGACAGTAGCCGATGTCTTCGCGGAAGTGCTAGCGGGGAGGGTGCATGAGTACGGTACCACAGGGCGAAGGGACGCGAGGGGAAAGCGAGGGGCGAGGAATGCAAGGAACGTGAGAGATTCGGTGACTAACAGACACCCGAGGGGGGAGCGGAAGAAAGGAGAAGGAGAGGCGGGCTTACGATCTGTCCTTGCACGTAGACAGCGCCACGCCGATGGAGTGCACGGGGGCGTTGCCCCAGCACTCGTAGTAGAATCCCTGCAGCGGCGGTCGGATTCAATGGAGTAGATGGCTGCGCGAAGAACTTGGAGTACTCCTTGCCCTGCCACAGATCGAGGTCCCGGATTCCGAAGTTAGACCAGACTTTGGAGGATGTGGTCAGCATACACACGGAGGAGAGGAGGAAGAGAAAGACGCGGAGAGACTCACAGTAATAGTGGCACGTTGTAGGTCTCGCCGTTGTCGTCGCGCAGGAAGCCCACACGTTGTCGGGGGCGATGAAGTCAGTGTTCTCCCGGACGAACTCCTTGACGCAGCGGCCTTAGGCTCGTCGATCCAGTCGGGCTGCTACCAGCGGTCCTGCGGGATGAGGCCAAAAGAGATCAAGCAAGGAGTAGAATGAGACGTGAGGACGCGGCGCAAGACGGCGGGTGCAGGCAGTGCAGCGCTTATGTGAGTTGCCGGATGTAGCCGAGCCGAGCCACCCGACAACAATGGGAAATCAAAAGTGAAAATTCAACCGCGGCCAATCCGCCGACCATAGGATGTTTCTCATCTTCCTGTAAAACACTGGATACACCTGCATTCAATTTTGGCTGTCCCAGGTTGAACAGACCGTATTCGGGCATCTCGGTCATCCTCAATGTCAATTATAAATGCCTGGAGGGCGTAATTTCGGTTTCCTAACTGTACTGTTCATACTAAGGAGCCATGAAAGACATGAAAATGGCCTCAGGCTGAGATAATTGTGCCTGAATTTGTGTGCTGCTCCTTGAACAGTTTTAGAATGGATTCGGTCTTGTGGGTGTCTGTCTAAGCATGCGAAGTTTCCAACACTGGAACGTGAATATTGATGTCTCCCCTCAACACTAGTTTAAGAATGTGGTGCTCTGGGTTTCCATGTGCATGTTGTGCAGTTGTACCGACAAAATTTATATGAAGAGAAGATATGATTGGCACAATGATTACTTGGATCCCAAGTTAGTGGGCTCTGCCGCAAAGCGCGCTACACTTGTTATTAGGATGAATAGCAAATAATACGTCCGCGCTACGCGCATACAGTACGCGCGTCGACGGAGAGGCTGTGTATTTACATTTGTGAGCGATGATCGTTGATCCCATCACTCCACACCTCCGTTGGCTGGGCTTGCACTGTGCGCGAACGGCTGCAGGCGTTCTATCCAATCTTCTACCTTGGCGCTTGTGCTGTGCGCTCCTGACCTGGATCTCCATACCCTTCTTCGGACTCTCATGTGGTTCGTCACGTTGATATCTTCCTCCGGTCTCAAATCAGCTCTAGTTGCCCATCCGAAACGCGTCCATCCGGCCGGGAATCCAACCGCAATGTAGTGATGAAGCTATAGAACATGACTAACCGCCCTCTCTTGCTCAATGTCGTCCATTGACTCGCTCTTTTGGCGCGCGAGCGTCTTGGACGTCGCTACAACGTGGTAGGGTACATGTGCGTTACTGTCTTTGCCTTGTCATTCCACACTCATCAACGCCTAGCCACTCGACTCACTGGGGAATCGCTGTCGCGGTCGATCCCTGACGCTCGCTGTGTATCAATCGCCGATTGTACAAGATCGCGTCGTGCCAGACCGTGTCTGTCGAAGGCCGAGAAGCGCCGCACCGCTCTGGTGGATGCCTTGGAAAAATGTAGCTCCGTACGTCTTCTTCATCCATACCGTCCATATACTGATCTATTTTCAGAATTCATCTTCCAGGGACACTGGTACGAGATAATCGAAAATGTCAGGTGCTACCTCACAACACACAACGTCGTACCCGCCTACCCGCTCAGCTATCTCTGGCCGAACGTTATCGGGATCATTTCTGCTACCTATTGCAGTAAGTTCTCCTTTTCTTCCAGTCTCAAGAGTACAATCTGACCAGTCTAGACTCTGCGTGCCTTCCTCCACCGCCGCGCCCAATTCGCGCAATTCCGCTCCGCCTCCGCGCCCTCCCTCGCCCCAACGCGCTACTTCCGCCTCATGGCCCTCTCCCTCGAGCTCCTCCTCTCCATCCCCCTCTCTACCTACGGCCTCTACCTCCGCCATCCAGCCCTGGATCTCCTGTGCCAACACGCACGCGGACTTCTCCTTCGTGGGGCAGGTCCCTGCGGTCCTCTGGCGCGCGGACGCTTGAAGCACACGCAGGCAAACGTCGAGCTGAGTCGCTGGGCGGGTGTCCTCTGCGCCTTCGCGTTCTTCGCGTTCTTCGGCTTCGCGGCGGAGGCGCGCAAGCACTATGCGTTGGGGTTTTGGCCGCTGGCGACGCGCGTTGGGTACAAGCGCCCGGCGGACGAGCGCCTCCCATGGAGCAAGGCCAAGTCCGCGTCGGGGGCGGCGCCTACACTCCCCATTTCCCTCCCCCGTACGCTACCCAAGCCGCGCCCGGAGTCGCTCACCGCCTCCCTCGCCGACACGCGCACGGTCTACGACGACGATACCCTGGAGAAGATCGCCGACTACCTCGTGCCCACTCCTCCTCGTGCTCAGCCCCGCCGGAATACATCCATGACATCGAGCTCGGGGTGTACACCGGCTCCCCGACGTCGACATCGAGCGAGTACTCCCACCGCACGCTGGAGTCGCTACGATGACACGTTCTTTCGATTTTATTTCGCTTTTCCTTTTGTCTGTCTGTCTGTCTAGATTCGATGCATTGAAATGACATGGTATAAATCCAGACATAGTTCACATTAATCATGAAGAGGCTCGCGACCTTCGGTTCTAATTTCCCAAGGAGTGACGACCTCCCGCAAGATATTCGAAACAGCGCGGGATACGTACCGCATCCGCAAAATAAATTTCCTACAATGATACCCTCAGCCCCTGTCGTACCAACTACAGTTTGTGCTTCAAGCATAAGACACGGAGTCTTTCTCTGGGATGGATGGATGTCAATGGTAGACTCAAAATTCCGAAAATGTTTATATCAAGGAAGTTTCGATGAAAAGGGCACTTTTGAAGCCTGACGTTGGGAATTGGATCACCAAGTTGTCGTCCAGATGAGTTCCAATAGGGTCGTTCACAGTAGAGTTTTCGACGCCGTTTTCGACCTGGTTTTCGTTTTCGTTTTCAAGCTCCAAAAGTGTTACCTGATGTGACCGAAGTTCGGCAGATCTTCGGCCCCTCGCACATCAGCTTGCCACGTCAAGCGAAGTCCCCCGCCACCATCCCGCCCTCACCCGCCCTCCGTTCCCGCCCACATTATTACGAGGCGCAAAGGAGTTCCTAATGAAACAGAATGTGCATACCATTGATTCAAAGTTATGGTTGATGTATTGTCAAGAGTGCGCCCCGCCAAGTGCCCACAGAAGGGGAGATACACGAGTTCATTGTGGTGGGCGATGGGCGGGAAGACCCCGGCAATCGGGACCAGATGAAAACGAGTTTTCAACTCTGATTGCTCTGACGAAAACGAGTTTTCGGCGTCTTCCGTGTCACAGCATCATCACGTTGCCACGAAAACGAAAACGAAAACTGGCGTGAAAACCGTCGAAAACGGGGTCGAAAACTGTACTGTGAACGACCCTAATGAAGGAAGTCAAAAAGACAGCAAAAGTGCCCTTGGCGGGGAGTCGAACCCCTGCTCTCGTGCTCGACACTGCCGTAATAGGCAAGACGTAAGAAGCTCGCGTGTTAACCGCTACATTGTCAAGGGGACACCACGCCTGACAGACGTCGACATCTTCACGGACTGCCAGCCTGCCATCATCGCTCTCGGCGCCCCCCGCCCCCAGCCTGGCCAATACCTTCTCGCCACCTTCCATGCGCTACACCGCCGCCTTCTCCGTGCCCGTCCCACGCTCAAGATCCGCTTCCACTGGGTCCCCGCCCACGTAGGCATTGCGGGCAACGAGGCGGTGGATTCGCGCGCGAAGGAGGCCGCCCAGGGCTCCTCCTCCGCCCTCGCGACCCGCATCCCCATCTTCGAATCCCCCCTCCCGGCGAGCAAGGCTGCGGTGCTAGCTGCAGGTGCGAAGAACTTCCGGCAACGATGGCTCACGGAGTGGTCCACCTCCCCGCGGTACAAGCGGCTTTCACTCTTCGACAGTGCCAAGCCGTCGTCTTCCACGGAGCGGATGTACGCGGACCTCAGCCGCCCGCAATGCAGCGTTCTGACGCAATTGCGCACCACCCACATTGCGCTCAACGCCTACCTCTTCCGCTTCCACCTCGCCCCCTCCCCCGACTGCCCCCTCTGTCTCGTGCCGGAGACTGTCCCCCACTTCCTTCTATCATGCCCCATCTACCGCTGGCAACGACTCTCCCTCATATGCAAACTAGGCACTGCCAGACTTTCCCTCAGGCTTTTGCTTGCGGCGAAGTCCGACCCCAAGCCGGTACTAGGGTTCGTGCGCGAGACCGGCCGCTTCCCCCGCTACTCGCTCTAGGCGATACCCGGCTTCTTTTCCACTTTCTTTTCCTTTACTTTCTTTTCCTCATTACATATCATATTACCTGGACTCGCTACTGCCTTGACATCCTGCCTTGCACATACATTCTGAACCCCCTCGTAGCACACTCCATGCCATCCCGCCTCTACCCAAGACTTCCCCATCCAGAACATCATTCCACGCCTGCTAGTCTACATACATGTACTACGGATAGTGCCACATGGGCCCCCAGGGGCCCGCGCGCACTTTAATTGAATCTGAAATGAAATGAACCGCTACACCACCGCCGACAGAGTGAAGTCGGGTAGAGTCATCCCAAGCCGGATGACGGGACAAGATCAGAGGGGTTTTAGTGGGTATACACCGTTACTCGAAATAATGCGGTAGGCTAACTTGACGGCCAGAGTCCCACACGAAGGCTTGAACCCTGTGTGTAATGACGTTTCCTCCTGGACACTTCCCTGGCTGTATTCATAAATTACATATGAAGGTAGATATAAACAATACCATTCATATTCCCAAGTTTCCCGACCAAATTCGGCTTTTTGACTGAGCTTGGGACCCATGTTTAGTATTCGTAGAATCAAGTAGAATTTGTCCTTGTTTCCCGCATTTTTGTTGCCTTGAGCGAATTTTGCTTGCAATTATTTTCTTTTCCTTGTGATTCTGAGACAATTAGGACTTGATTAGGATTCTTTTCCTTCCATGTACTTCTTGCCTTCAGAATTCATCGCAGGTCCTGACTCGTTCAAGCCCCAATGGCTGGACCTTGAAAGTTTATCACACCATGCACGTTCAAAAAAAAAGAATACAGACATACATACAAGGCACGGAGGGCCGGCTTGAATGAGGCTTGAGAGTTCTGTATGAAGCAGTTCATTACAGTATCGAGTCCAACAGTCTGTCAATTCACAAAGATGGGAAATTCAATTGACAAATTTCATTGAGTCTATACGACCCCCAGATCTTCAAAAGGTGAATGTCTCGCCGATGATCTTTTCCGTCGTGGCCCACAGTCTCTCGGCAGTGACTTACGATTATTATTTGAATTCGAAAACGGATGACAAAGGTCCCTACGGGAAGGACAGTTGGATATTGTACTTACTGGGTCAGAAACTATGCGCCGCAATGGCCTCATTAGCAACAGTCGAGTCGCTCAAGTACGCCCCGGGCTGGTCTAGAAAAACGTCAGATTCCATCTTTGTATGTCAGAATTCCATGCAACTACTTACCGCTGATTCGGGGATCAAACGCAGCTGCGACCATACTATGACCCAAAAAATGTGAGAAAATGTGAGATGCGAGCTTGAAAGGAAGCGGTAATTAGAGACGCACGTCGCGGCACCTTGCGGGATCGTCTTAAACGGGAACTTCTCGGCGGTCGGAAGCTTGTCAGGTCCCAATAAACCTGCAAGCACGCATACCCAGCCTGAGAAAACAGCCCCTATCGAATGAGGGGCACGAACCTATAGCCTGCATATCCGCCACGGATTCCTCCGTCTGAAGCATGTTGCTGAAGATAACTATGCACGTTACGTACATGTGCATTAGCAGCCGATCACCTGGGTATCACGATAAATGTCCTTACTGCCGGGATGAAGACTGTACGCATTGATCTTCCCACCAGAGCGCTTCGACAGCTCCAAGGCGGTGAGGATGTTGGCAGACTTGGCTTGGAAGTACTTTCGTATATCTCGGCATCCGGCATCTCTATTGTGGCCAAGTCGACGCCGGAGCTGGCCGCGTGTGCTTCGCTCGAGACGAACACGACGCGCGGACTGTACGTTTCGCTGGTGGACGCTAGCATCTTCGGCGTAAGCAGTTTCGTGAGGAGGAAGGGCCCGATGTGGTCCGTGGCGATCTGACTCTCGATGCCGTCCGGCGTGAGTTTGAAGGGGCCTATAGCGGCCGCAGCATTGAGGATCAGAACCTGGATGTAAGTGAGTAAGAAAACCGATGAGCAGGCCCGCTCAGGAAATTAATATATGATATGCATGCGCACATGGAGTGGCTCTTCATATGCGTTCACTTCCACAGCAGCCTTGCGAACACCGGCCAGAGATCCCAGATCGAGCGTGAGCCGTCGAATGTTGGCGTCAGAAAATTCCTTTTTGATCGCGTCTTCTGAGAGCTTCAACCTGGCCGCGGGGGAAGGTGCAATTAGCCTTTCGACTGTCGCGAGAAACAGGAACAATGGCCGGAAGACAAACCTCTCAGCATTGTATCTGGTTATTATCACCAGGCTGGCGTGCTTTGCGATGACGCGCGCGACTTCGAAGCCAATTCCGTTGATGGACGTTCCAGTAATGAGGACTGAACCGTCGATTTGAATAAGCAGGCAGGCTTTTTATATGCGCGGAATTTGTAAGTACAACGTCTGGGACAACACTTGCCTCCATGATGCAGCACATACTTACAACTTGATGGCGACAAAATCATGCAGCTAACCATTGAAAAACGCGGCTCAGAGGTGACTTAGAGGAGATGACGCACCCTATAGTATTGCAAACTGACCGACTCGTGCCGTCGGAGATTCCCCCATAAGTCAGCGAAAACAATAGACGTGGACATGACCGATCCGGGGATTGAATAGCGAGGGAAAGGGAAGTAGCTACTTATGAGCGGCAGGGAGGCGTCAACGTGTCTACAGCCGCACAGCGAAGAATCAGCCCCTCGACAACCCGTCGAGACGAAGGAGAGAAGGCAGGTGGCTGTGCGACTGCTGTGCGATCATATCACTGATCGATCTGCTCCGGACTTTGCCGACTCTTGCCATAGGCGTTGATCCTAACTCCCTCGCTTCCCTTCCTCCAACTCAGAGCGTCCTCGATTCTTGTCAGTTCTCACAACTCCACTGTAAACCTTGCCCTTCATCTATGCCCTGTTCTTCCCCTAGAGTCTAGACTCGATCCTTGCTCGATCCGTCAGGGCGCAGGGTCGTGCACTAAGGACTCCTACGGTCTGTGCGGTGCCAGTGTGCGCAATGATGCAGCCTGATGTCTGTGCGAAAATATCGGGCCCAGATATAAAGAACTGAGATGCTCTGACCGACTGACACTCTTGGCTTCTTCATTAGATCATTCATGGCCAGATATCTCCCGCGTCGTCTCCGCATGCTACTGCAGTCTGAAGTACATCTACTTGCAGCGGTCTTTGCTCGGGGAAACTTTCCCGATCGTCACTCTCCGCGAAATACCCGTTCTGCGTCACTGGGAAACGGCTAGAGTCGAAAAGCTACGGACGCGTGGCTGTCGATATATAGGCGCCTATCTATTGCACGGTTTGCACCTGACGTCTATCAATGTGTCCAACAGAAAGAAGAGGAAGTGAACGCCAAGGCAAATCGATTGTTATCTCTACCTTTGGAACCAGAAGCTGGGAGCAATAAATGATTCGAAGCTCGCTGCGCGCAACAAATTCAGGAGGATTTTTGACAATGTCATGATCATGATTCCGAGTCAGTAATAAATGTATCAGCGCTGAGTTTCTCGCCTTTCTGTTGGACACAGTAGAAAGACGAGGAACTGTGCATCGCTTTCGTTGTAAGCGATGTTATCTCTCTGCCTTGAGAACCGGAAGCTGGGAACAATAGAGAGCCATAAGGGAGAGAGATAAACATCGATTTGCCTTGCAACTGAAGTTGGCGCTCAGTTCCTCGTCTTTCTGTTGGACACATTGACAGATCGTCAGGTAATAGATAGGCGCCTGTATGTCGACTCCTGGAGGTATAACTTGGGCACACACTGTCCCAAACCCCACCAACTAACACCAGTACCGACCCTTGACCTCCTACGATATCGATGGGCCCATTGTACCCCACACTCCTTTTTCTCGCCCTCGTTTCACAATTTAGACCAAGTATGTTGCCGCTCAATTGCCTTCCGTTTCTCTCATACTTCAAGTACATACACTGATCGCGCCACGCAGATCTTGCAAAAAATCATGCTCAGCTCCAGCACCGGCAGACAGTGAACGGGACTTGCGCCAAGTTCTGCACCCCAGAGATCGTTGCGCTTGTACGTCCACTGCCTTGAATCTACACCCTTCGATTCTTCCACTGACTGTGTACCGGATATAGGACAACTCAGATGGCTCCAACGCCAATGCGACGACATGCACTGACGCCATTGTCAAGCAGTTCGCCGAGTGCACCCAGTGCCAGGAAGGCTACGTGACGGTTCCCTACGGCGGTATGCACTGTGCCTCGCACCTGAGAAAAAGCTGATGTCGGATTTGATTTTCTCAGACTTCATCGACGACTGCC